TGGAGGAATACTTGAACAGTATTGTCAGCTGTATATGTCAGAACTAGCTTGTATTTAGCCCTGGTCAAACAGAAGTCTTGTCATTGGTTTCTCTTGCTCCCTGTTTTTATTCCTGCTGGTTGAGGGGATTGACTGAAAGGCGATGAGTGAGGTTAAGAATCTTGGTGTTGCTTTTCATCACACCCTTTCCAGAAAAGCCATGTGGCACAAAGAGGTATTTTTCAGTTGTGATGCTTGCATCTGATTTAGTTTATGGGCTCTCTGAGCTAAGATCAAGCGTTTTTTTTTTTAATATTCTCTAATAAAATTTAATTCTGTGCCCTTGGGATAGCAAGGTGTTGTTATTGCTACCTTTTTAGAGGGCTCACAGAAGGGCATTCCTGTCATTTGCAGCTTGCTCAGAATTCAGCAGCGTGGTCTGTTGTTTTTTCTCATTGGCGTGAACAACCACAATCCTATTATACCTGTCTTGCACTCTCTATATGTGCCACCTTTGACGTGTCAACAGTCAGACTAATTTAAAGATGGAACAGATGATTTTTAAAGTGGCTTTTATTGCTTAATAATAACTTATTATTTTAAAGTATTGTGAGCCCTCCTCCTTGAGGCTTATTCTACTTTTGCTCTGACCACACCTGTGTCTTTTAGGGATTCTGCCTTCTCACCTTAAATTGTTAGGGGATTGTATCTTTGTTGTTGGGTCTTTGGAGAATGGAACTTTCTATCCCCTGAAAATTATTTCGGTTCATTTCTTCTATAAAACACCTCATTACTTTTCCATTTAAAAGGTTTTTGGTGACCATTCTTATTATGACACATTTAGAACTTTTTTCCTCTCCTCCTCCTTTTCGTGTTAAGACACCATCATTACTTTTTTATTTTGCATATTAATGATGGTAGCTTTTTCATTGTATTTTAATTTGTTATGCCATGCATTGTCCGGAACACCTGCCTGGGGAATATAGTTTAAATTCAATGTATCTGTTTGTTTGTCTACTACCACAACCTCTGTCAGTATTTGTCAACTTAAAAAAAAAAATTCAACTCTACAAAAATTGTTCTAACTTGCTGTAATGAAGGTAACCCTAACTTTTTTATTTTGGGGTATTGTAATTTAGTAATGGGCAGAAATTATTTGAAAAGCTTAATGGTGTTTAATCAGAATGATTTAAAACAAATAATTTTGAAAAATGATTACTCGTGATTGTAGGGGCGTGAGGTGGACACTCATTTCAAAGACAGGTTGAACGTTAGAAGGATCATGAATTTTCAAAATTGGGATAGTACAAGCTGTACAGACATGCTTATAAATATAAATTGATATTTTTGATATTTAATTCTGTGGTTTTTAAAAAAGTACAGCACAGCTATTTCCCCCCTAAAAATACAACTAAGTCCACCATTTATGAAGGTCACGGACAATTTGGTTTCCTTTGCAGATCTGTAATATTTAAATGCTATTCCAGTACTTGGCATATCTTGCCTACTAAGTTAACTTTTCTTTCTGCTGGAAAATATAAAACACATTTACAGTTATCTGGTGGCTGTTGTTGCTGTTCTCATTCATACTGTAAATGTAATGCTGATCACTCAGTTAGTTAATGCTGATAAAACAGAAAGAAAGCTCAAGAAGTTGCCAGCTGACTTGACCCAGCATTATTAGAATCATGCTTTGGATCATGGGCCACAAAGCTTCTTTCAGTGAGACATGTTGTGTAAGCAAGAGGCCAATTCTTGGGTTGCAAGGAGTTGGAGGAATTGCATTCCTCTCTATCACATCCCATGCCTGAACACTGGCACCGGGTCTGAGAGAAGTCCTTGTTTGTTCTTTCTCCTAAACCCAGCCCTACGGTGTCTGCTGCTGTCAGGAAAGGGAAAGGAAACACCGGGTAATAAATTGGACTGTAAGTGTAATTTTCATCTATGAAATGCTATTTAGTTATAGTGTATTCCTAAAATGGCTTCAATAATATTGTTTAAGTGCCTTTTATTTATTAAAGTCCATTTTAGCTGCTATTATCACATTAGGGGGACCAAATCTTACCCTCAGAAACCTGCATGCACTTCCCCACGCCCCTGACTGCGTTGGCAGCCACACTGTGTGTGTCTGAGCAGGATTTGTTGCTAACTGATGATTGAATTGTTGTTTAGGAGGAAATGTCACAGTATGGATGAGTAGCTTTAACCCTTTTTCTCATCACAAACTTCCTCCCACCATTAATTGCAGACTTAGACACAAACAACTTATTATTAAGGATTGCAGGACACCACCAAGAATTGGGGGACAAAGAGTTTGAGATCTCAGGTTGAATCCAGCTCTCGTATAGTGTATCGCTGAGTCTGGTACTAGGTCATCTGGCTAACCACTAAGGCCCATTTTTTTTTATTTAAATTTTAACAAAAAAATGTTTAGATAGTGATAACCTACCATGGATCATTATCAGGGTTCAAACCTAGGACCTTTAGCACCAAAGTCTACCATTTGAACTAATGTGTAATTCTAGACGATAAGTGTAATAGGCTATCTTCTGTGTGTATTAGCCGCCAGAGGGGCATGTGACACATTATGTAAGGATGTTACTCCTGTATGATAATCTAACATATTAGTTAGTGCTGCCACTGTTTAAAGAGATGCACAGTCGTACTGAGTATCAGGGGGTAGCCGTGTTAGTCTGTATCTACAAAAACAACAAGGAGTCTGGTGGCACCTTAAAGACTAACAGATTTATTTGGGCATAAGCTTTCGTGAGTAAAAACCTCACTGATGCC